GAGGGGGTAAGGGGGAAGAGCGATCAAAAGGAAGAGGAGGGGGATCAAAACACAAAATATTACAAAGGGAACATTAGATAGGGAGGACAACGACGCAGGAACCACATTGCTTAGTAGGAATAATATTAATATTAACTCCTATACAACAACCCCTTCATTTTGCATTACATATTTTTCATTTCTGTCTGAATTTGTCTTCCTATCCCTATTGTAGTTTGTTGAGACTGTCATGATAATTTGTTGGTTTTGTTTGTTTTTGCACACAGTGACCAAGCGTGGTTTCACTTGCATTCATGAAACTCTAGAGTACAATGTGGGTGAGGTTGTGAAAGAGGGCGATTGCTCAGCTTGGTAAGTTCAATATGGGGACCAGTGTTAGTTGTTTACCAGCCAAGAAACTGGCCATTTAACAGAAAACTTGTTTTTTGGCCAAAACATAGTGAGCATCCCAAAAAAGGGTTTGTGGTTGTACGTGGTTGAAACTGGTTATAGTGAGAGATAGACTGCTCTAAATGCTTATTTGTCGAAAATAGTTTACCAGCTAAAAATAGAGTACAAGCCAAAAACTGGTTGCCAGTCTAAAATGCTGGTTTCTAGTCACAATTACTGTACCTCATGACGGAACCCCGAACTCTCATTGGTGCATTCATGGTCACATGGCAACTGCTATGTTTGCTGTTTACCAAGCGCACATGTGATCGTTCTCGCAAAGAGTATATGCACATGTTTTTAACTGTCGTCTGGCTTACCCCGGGCAACGGTTAAAAATGCATGCGCAGTAGCAGAAAATCCAGGAACTGTGGCCTGGGTGTACTGTGCACCCATGGTGGCGCCAGCCTAGTGACGGAATGCAGCTCATACAAAAAGATGGCGGCACACGTAAAAGACTGAGCGATGCTGAACTGGAAAATCTTGTGGACAATAAGGATGCCTCCTCCACTAAGAAGGTTGTTCAAAATGTGGTGGAAACGCTCAAAAATTACTCTCGCAAAAGGATTGGACTTTTCTTTTCTTTCATGATAATGTTTTTATTTTCAGAGGTTATTAAATAAAATTTGTATGAAGTACAGTATAACAAATATTACTCGCTTTATTTTGGTTGGACAGTCGATGTTAGCTCCCCGAGGTATTGGAAGTTGACTCCGAAAAACTGTCAAACCTCAAGTCATATTATATTTGCATACTAGTACAGAGACAGAATGTAAACTTTTAGCAGCTACAAGCTTGTAATCAGCCAAAAACTGATTACCAAACCAAGGTGCTCATAAATATTGGTGTTGGATGGACTTTCGTTTTAGTTTTGCTGAATTGAAAACAGAATCGTCTTTCTTTTATTAGTGGAACTTGACAAAGACAATTTTATTTTGGTTCTTTTCCTGTCCCTCTCTTTTAAAAGTGTATAAAAAGGTCCAAGATGGAGCCTCAACCCTCAGGCCTTAAAAGATGGCTTTAAATTGTTTAAATATATTGCCACCACCCTTCCCAAACCAATTTTGCTTCTCCCATGGCTTCTGTGTTTGACCTTATTAGCCACATGCATAATGACAGGAGTTTTAGCTTTCACCTCAGAAGCAAACATGACCCAATTCATGGAAACATCATTTCTGAATGTTTTTCTTGTCACTCTGTCATTTTTTATAGCGAGTGTCAGTCAGATGGACGCTGGAATTGCCACAGAGACAACCATTTCTGTGACAGTGAGTATCTGTATTTCTTGAGGAATTGAATGAAAATGTAAATTTAGGAATTACTAAATTTCCTTTATTAGGAATTGTTAGTTTTTGAAGCCCATGCATTGCCCTTTTTAGAATTGATTAATTGAAGTTACTTGCTTGGGTTTATGGCATTAATGATTTCCCCTCCTCTCATCCAGCTCCAATCTCCACCACCCCAGCACCAATGTTTCCTTGGCTTCCATCAGGCAAGTCCAGTTGTCTTTTATTTCTTTTAGGTGAAAACTTACTCCTAAAATCGTTTTTTTTTTTTTACTTGCAGTTAATAAGTTGTTAAGTTGAGTGTTTTGAAAAAAAATGGGGAACTCTGAAATGGTTTGAAAACCCTTATCCTTACAAATGTCGTACAGTTCTGTTGTTTGTTTTCGTTTTTCTCGATTTTTTTTTTGCCATCTTTGTGGGTCTTGTCAGGAACATATATCTCCGAAGGAATAGTTTGTCACAAATTGGAACTTTGAACCATGACTTACTTCTTCATGTAGCTCACTTTAGCTCACTTGTAATTTCTTGTCTATTTTTTAATCATTCTGTACTTTGTTTCAGTGAAAAAAAGGAGTACATTAAAAGATGGAGATTATTGAACGTCTTTAGCAGTGAAATATCAATATCTTTTGTGTGCATTTGTTTTCGGTAGGAGTAAGAACTGGTCAGTGTGTTGTAGGTGAGAGAGTCTTTAACCACGGAGATACTACCACCCTGGATTGCAAGATGTGGTAAGTAAACCAGTGACTTGACTCACAAGGGGAAGGGGCTTGAGGGGGAGGTATTTTTGGACCACAACCTTGTCCATTGTTTTTAATGAAGAACCCTTCCTGAGAAATTGTACTCAGCTACAAATGTATCAGATTAACCAAAGTTTCTGTAAAGTTGTTTGTTAATGCACATAGCCTAAAAAAGCAGCATTGTATTTGAGTCCATCACAAGTTCTTTCACAAGGCCAGTCATAAGTAACAGGGTGAACAAAGGAATGCTTTTTTCACAGCTCATTTGAATAGCTTGTGAATTGGCTTAAGACTGATAGACTTGTGATGGACTTGAATAAAACACTGTAAAACAGTGTTTGTAAAACTTGCCACTTTGATTTTTGTATCGTCAAGGACTTGGCCATTTGTCTAGTCGCTATACTTCCGCATGATAATAGTGGACTCTTAGCAATAGTTTGTCTTCCTTGTGGTTTCCTCCAGCACATGTGATACGACTACTGGCTGGTCTTGTGTCAACATCGACGACCACACTTGTGTAGCTCCCCCTGAGGGTGGGTCTTAGCCACTTTATTTGCAGAAATCACTCCAGGTTTTGCAGTGTCAATTATTTGAAGTTACGATCAATTTTTGTTTTACGACTTCTGAAAAAGTACACAAGCAGACTCACTGGTTTAAATCTCTGTGGACTTGGAAATCAATCTTGTGTAGCATAAGATGGCATTTTACTATCTACGTGTAATTATTCAACAGTAGTGTTGTTCTAGAATGAAAGCTCACATCTGACCCTGTAGCACAGAGGTAAACATGTACAGTCATTTGCAAAAGTTTAGGACCACCCATAGAAAAATGCATTAATCTGAGGGAAAACCAAACTTAAACCAATCAGTCATGGCAACTTACGTTTATTTTCAATGTGTAACCTTGGTACCTTGGTTGAACATTTTTGACTACATTTCCATGATTTGACATGTTAGCAGTCTAATATTCAGTGCGCCCTCCCTCATTTCTGATTACTTAGACTAGCTATTTTTTACCCATGCTGCCTTGCAGACAAAATGTCATACAAGACCTGCCTTTGCAAAAAAAATTCATTCAAATGGGTATATAGCACTACACTGATGTTTTGCACCACTGTAAAATCATGTTAAGTAATCGGTCAATGAGACAATGTAATGCAGGCCCAGTGACAGGAAAACCAATAAAATTCCAGGTGGTCTTAAACTTTTGCTAATGACTCTATATTGACAAGTAGTTTCTCTTCAAGAACGTCACTTTCATAAACAATGTTTGATGTGTTTTTTCTCTGGGTACAGATGACTACTGTAGAATCGACAATCATTTCATCTTCTTCCATGGCCAGACAGCCAAGAAAGATTGTAACACATGGTAATTAGTTTGACCTCATTGGAACCCTCGCCCCTTTCAAAAGAGGATCATCTTTTTATATTTTGGACATGAGGAAAGGGTGATTTTTGCAGAGACTGTTTTGAGTCTCTTCCAAAAATGTGTAAAAAGCTCCCAAATTTGTCCTCACCCCACAGAAAGGCCATTAAAGGTTACAAAAAGGAATAGCCAAACTTGTCGTCACCCCAAGAAAAGAATTTGTTCCCCCCTGAAATTTGGTTCTAGATCTGACCTCACTTTGACACCAGAACACTTCAAGACTTTGCCTATGTACGCCATTTTCTTTGACAGTCTCTGTCTATTCCATGGAGAAGTTTGGCAGTAAAGCATAGCATGGAACATGCTAATTTCAGAGACAGAAAGTACATAAACTAGTGGCATAACACTGGATATTGTCATACGAGTGGAAACGTTTCTCACTAGACAATACTGCTGAGGTTAGCAGAATGTACTCTGCCTAACTGTTTTGCTGAAGGCAAAGCAATAGTCCTGCTAATTATGGCATCTGAAAGTAGGGTAGGTATGCAGGAAATCTTAACTGATTTACTGTGCAGCTGTTAACTGGTTCAAAATGACGAGATCAGAAGAAGTCATGTGGAATTTGTTTCAAATGAAATGTTGAATGCATAGAAATGTAGTTGCATGCATACATGTACAATGTAGATAAGTCTGTTCTCCAAAACAGTTGTCCCCAAGAAACTCAAGGGTTGTGCCATCAAAATAGGTTAGGTAGAGATATAGGAAAATAACTGTTATTTGGAGAAGTTTTACCATTCATTATTGCAATGCAATCAACTCAGTTTGTCAGGTTTAAGTGATTGGTAGACTTTATATGTACAAGCTTTGAGGAGTGTTTGGCATTCGTGATGTATTGTTGTTGAAAGAATTTAATCGTTCCAATAAGATCTTTATCTACGTTCTAAGTTTGCTTTCCCGACACCTACATTTTCCTGTTGATTCCCCTTCCTTTGAACCAGCATCTGCAAGAACAGAGAATGGGATTGTACGCAGATGATTTGCCCAGACAAAACCAACAAGGCGGCATACTTCCACAAGTGCACCAATCCGTTGACCAATGAACGCCATAACGACGGCGAGATCATCAAGCGAGACTGTAATGTCTGGTGAGTTTCCCCTCAGACTGACTTTTTTGTATTTGAATAAACCGTTTATTCTTCCAAAAAAATGTGCACTTGAAATTTGGCACACATTTACAAAATGTTTGCAGAGTGCTTGCTTTGAGTATTAATTGTGATATTTTTACTCCCAAAGGTGGAGTTATTCAGTAGCTAACCCAACCTCGCTGATCTGCAAAACAATATCTGAATTACTATTATTCCTTTGCCTCTCTGAGATCTACAAAAGAGTAAAACTACATGCAGGTTCCCGATCATTCACAATTTTCAAAGTGACCTTTGCAAATCTATTCATCGGGGGTGGTAATTTGTCGACGGAGACTTCACTTCTAACTAGACAATGGCCTATCTGGATTTTTCACACTGGGATCAGTATTTCAACTCAATTCATAAACAAGAAATGGTGCTGTGAGACCATATGCAAGAACTCTGATGAGTGGGAGACATAGTTGGCATGCCTATGGCACAAAGTAATCAAAACCAGTTTTCGTTGGAATGTGCACAAATATGTAGTATCTTCATGTGGCCACCTGACACACAACAGCCATAGTGTTTTGAAGTGTTTTCTACATTTGTGTGTCACCTCGGAGACGTTACTCAGTACTCATTCTTCAAAAGCATTTGCAAATCTGTCACGTTTTATTAATTCTAGCGTCTGCACCCAAGGTAAATGGGACTGCACTCGTGACCCCTGTGTGGAGGGTACATCTCTTGAAAGTGAATACAGCCTGGCGAACAGGAAAGTGTGCACCACACCCACAGGCCTTCCCTTCCCTCACGGTGCTACCATCAGCCAGGACTGCAATGCATGGTGGGTACACTGCCTGTTGTCATTTCATTTGTTCCACCTAGTGCTGAAGTTGAAGGTTGATTTTCCAGGGCTATCATGAGACGATTTCAGTCAGGTCAGCATGGTGCTTTATTGCTGGTCTTCTGACCTACCGGTTGCATACAAGGCCTGCTGCTCACTTCTTAGTGTGCCAAAACAATTGGTCAGTCTAACTTAACTAATATGAATGGTGGCAAACGGTTCACATGCATACTCCATTCATTGGTCAGTTCAGCTAAGCGACAGGTTTTGTTTCTCATTTTACAAACGGTCTTAGTTTTGAATTCTTATTCCAAGAAATTCACCTTGTGCTTGTAGTCTTGTACAGGTAGCTGCACTTGTTTATCATCGTATTTGCATTGTCTCGATGATAAACAGAGTCTAAGGTTTAAGTAGCCACCTGCCAATTAATCATTTATGTTAATACTTACAATATTGTCATTCTGTGCACCGGAACAAAACAAAGCAATTCATTTTCAGATGCTTCCATCCCTACACAAAATCTTTTTTTTTTAGACAAATTTCTCGGTTAGCTTACATGTTTTGACTCCATTGCATTTGCAGTAAGTGTTTTGATGGCAAGTGGCAGTGCACCCGTCGATATTGTTCTCCAGAGACCTATCCTAACTCCACCTGCCTGGACGATGTGACCATTTCATTGGTCAAGAGTGGTCAGACCATCCGACGGGGATGTGATGTCTGGTAAGTGCAGGAGCCAAAATGGTCCCAGGGTAAAAAAGGACGGTGAAGAATTATGACCGTTTCCTTTAACCCATAGATTCTTTGAACATGAAATTGATTTTACGGAGACTTTTTGTTTGTAAGAATCCTGCATTTTTGTTCCCTATCATGCTTGCAATCTGACCTCAAGCAGCACAGCTGAATTTTTTGTTTTTTCTTGTTTTTGGCTTTGCAACTTTTCAGCAGTGCAAGTATTTTTGGTGAGATCAGTGATTTCGTCAAGCACTTGCCAGGACCAAGTTAACTTCCAAATACTGAACTTGTTGGGAGGGAAAAAAGCTGGAAAACACAGGCAATGGAGGATAAATGTACAGAAGTACGATTACAAAATAAAACAATGACTGCAGACCAACACTGTTTGATGAAAAAAAAATTGATTTTTTTTATGACAAAAGTACTCAACAGCATTTGGCTGAGAACTTTTCTTCTTGAAACCAATGTATTCTACAAATTTGGGAGTGTCTGAAGTCGTCTTAAGTTTCAAGATAACCTTAGCTTTGTGCATTTATCATGCAGATCCTAAGCTTATCTGCTTTGTGTCCTCCTAACCGGGTCAGTATTTGGCAAAGACTTGGTATTTGAAAAGTACTTGACTGCAACACTGGATAAGATTGACTGTGAACCATGAACTTTGGTATTGTTGTTCTTGGAGATGACAAGATGAAGGTCATAACCAATTGGGTCAGTTGGAATGATCAGGAGAGTCCGTCTTAGATGTGTAAAATACTATTTTATTTTTAAGCAAACAAGTAATGACATTTACTTTCTGCCGTTTTATTTTATAGCGTTTGTAATGGTGGGAACCTGACATGCACCACTAAGCCTTGTGAAACTAACAACGGTGAGTTAGTTAGAAGAGACACACAGGAATTAGAGGAGGAACCTGACTTTTTTTAAAATAATGTTACAGCGTCTATTTTGTTTTTGTGTCACGGTTTAACACTTTTTCTTCAATATCTCTGGCAAATATTCTGACACCAGTTTTATGAACATTGGACATGTTCTGGCAAAATACTTATTTTTCTGAAACCAGTCACTGCAAAATGACACACTGGAGGGCATGAAGTGTAAACAACTGCACCAACAACATCCTTCACTGATATACTTATACATGCATTATAGTAGATGTCTTTACATGCATGCCAAGTTACAAAATGATTGGGCAAAGGAAAGCCAAGATTTGGGGACAGCTTCTGCACCCCCCCCATCTTTGAGATCACCCAGAACAACCCTGGCTCTTTTAGGGATCACCTTGCTCTGGTTTCAATGTATTAAATGAGCTGAATCTTTGTGGCACCTAAGGCCAGAGAAATGAACTTACACAGCTCAATTAAACCATAGTAAGATTAAATTAATGATTGCTGAGGTATCTAGCTTCTAGTTCTACTGTTGCCATCAGCCATCATCAACAGTGGAACCAACTAGAACCAAATGGCAACCGGGGAACTAGAAGCTACAACCCTGGGTTCATATTTCTGTTCCTTACATCGTCTGACGTTACAGTCATTCTTCTATCATCTGTAGGGATGTGCTTTGATGAGCAGCGTCGTTTTGTCACCACCTCCACTTCCTTCAACCGTCAGTACCGCCCTGCCTGCAACCCAGATGGTACCTTCCGTCCCATCCAGTGCAACCCTGTGCATGGGGTATGCTTCTGTGTCACCACCCTCGGCCAGGTGATACCAGGAACCGCTGTCAAGCAGGATACCGGCTCACCCAATTGCTCACCATACACCACGGGTAATGCGTGGAGCTTTATGGGTAAGCTGACTCCCTCCCCTTCCCTTCCCTTCCCTTCCCCCCCCCCCGGCAGGTTTTTCTGCAAGAATACTTTGAACATTTCATTTGGCGTAGATAAACTGATTTCTAAGGTTGAAGTTTTGTACTCAAGTCCATCAGAAGTCTCTTCGCATGTCTAGTCATAATTACTTGATTTTTACTTACTACTTTTTACTTGATAATTACTTAATTTCATCTGACTTCTTTGCGATTCAGCTTAAGGCTGAACTCTAATCTGTTTTCTAGAGCTAGGTCTAGGTCTTCACTCCATTGGAAATACATGGAGACGTGTAGACAATAGACCTAGCCGTAGCTCTAGAAGCCCATTTTGGACTCAGCCTGAGACAGGATCAGATGACTTGTGAAAGACATGTTTGGGACTTGTGATGGTTTTGACTTCAAGGCCAAGGTTAAGCAGCATTTATTTAGAGGCCATGTGTGCTCAGTTGATATTAAGTTTTAAAGAGATTTGCACACTTTCATTTTATAATATATAGATGTAGTGATATGGAATTGTATAATGCCAGCGACTGGGGCCGAGTCTATGGTGCCAGCGTGCTATTTTTAGTTACGTCTACCCGGCTGGAATTGTTTACCGTGTGTGTATATTCTTCATAATAAGCTTAATTCGCCTAAAAATTAGAAAACTGGATAACTAATATTGTTATTGATTCTTTACTGTAGTTTATTTATTTATATCAGTTTATTTATTTATTCTTTTTATTTATTTATATCTGTTTATCCAACTGCGCATTTAGCACCAATTATAGGATGAAGTACATGTAACAGTTCTGAAGACAATGAGGAAACGTTCCGTTTTAGAGATGGGCAGAATAAAACCCCAGATAAATATTCTAGGTAAAACCCATGAAATCAGGTAGGGACTGAAAACCCAATCCACATGCTGACCTAGGTGGGATTCGAACCCGGGTCACAGGGGTGGAAGGTGAGGAAAGAATCACTACGCCAACTTGATTCCCCTTTTGCTTTTTTCCCTGTTTTTTTTCTTTTCTTAACTTTAATGAAGTAAACTATAATTTGATCAAACTTGAGAAGTCAGAGTGGACTGACGGTGGCAAACCTTTATTATTGATACGGGCTTCTGGGCTTAAATTGCAAGCCTGAGTTTGTCACGTGTAAATACTCTTTCACTTTCAATGCAAGATATCATTGATTTATACTCTTTTGGGAGAAGATTTCTGAATTGACCCTGTTTTGTTTCTTACAGCTGTATACGAACCAATGGACGTTCCCCAAACCAACACACAAACAGGTCAGTGTTTGTCTGCATTCTTAAGATCTAAAATAAAAATTGTCTGTCAAAGCTAATTAATTGAAATATGCATAGTTTTGCCATTTAACTATTATGATAATGTTACCTAAGAAATTGGTATATTTACTGCATTAGGAGGTTTAGTTTGTTCAATCCAACACTGGTGAAATTTGCCAGTGCTTACCTTTGCACGACCTTTTGTTTTCAACCCCCCCCCAGGCAGCGACCCCTGCATTGAGACCACCAGGAACACCGACACCCACCTGACTGGCTACAACACCCCCAAGTGTTTGCGCAATGGGTTCTTTGCACCCATGCAGTGCGACCTCCACACTGGGGTGTGCTACTGTGTCACCATGGAAGGAGCCACCATCCCGGGCACTGTGATGCACGTCTCCCAAGGACGGCCCAACTGCGACGTGATTAGAGGTGAGACAGAAGAGCCAGGCTGTGGGAATGGGAGTTCCAACCTTATATACCTAAAATGGGCCTGTGAACAAAAAAGGATTCTCGTAATACCAGTTGTGCAAACCTTGTGTGGACTATCTAGGGTCATAGAAGGTTACCCCCTCTCTGGAAAACAGTTTTTAGGGGAATTTTGGGTTAAAGTTATCCATAGAAAAAGGAAGAGGAAAGTCAAGGCAACCATATCTGATCAAAACTCCACATAAAAGGAGTCTTCACAGTGCAACAAAATTAGCATCATCACCAAGCTTTCTTAGCTGCAGGAAAACAAAGGAGTGGCCACAGTTGGTAGGTCAACTAAACATGTGTAGGGATCAGTTTGAAATCAAGTCCTTCACAAGTCCAGTTCAAAGTCCTTTCCCAAGACCAGTTATAAGTAATAGGGTGAACAGTGACAAAGGAATGCTTTTGTCACAGTTCATGTGAAGAGACTGTGATTTAGCTAAGGACTGGTTGACTTTTGATGAACTCAACTGCAACATTGGTATGGCTCTTTGTCTACGTACACAAGATAGGATTATCAACCTGGATATTTTCCTGCGTGTTACTCAAGGACAACCTAAATGTGGGGTGACTTGAGGTTGGTGATGCAAAAGAGGAAAGAAGATTGGGATCATCGGGTCCTCGAATTTGGGACCGCTTGGGTGCTGTTCAAAATGTGAGCTCCAGAGGAATTGCCACTGGCAAGAGGCCATAAAGATAGATCTATCAGAATGTTGGAATTGGGTAGTGAGGATATTCTCATGCATATTCATGATTGAAAGCTGATTCTCATTTGTCCATTCACCATCGCGTGCCAGTCCCCAGTGTTTGCTGTTTACCAGGCATGTACGGGAGGATCCATGCCCAAGTCAACTGTTAGCTACATGTAGCCAACCCAGGGACAAGTTAATTATACACAGACGTTATAAAGCAATATGTGTTATAGAACTGTTAGTCAGGAGGCACCTGTAAGCCAAGCATCGCCCCAGATACATACAAAAGAAATTGCAGCTTATGTACCTGCTGATCAGCATTTCAAATGATGCCTGAAATTGCAATGACAACTGAATATGTGTAGATTACCATATTACAACATCGGTAAAACAGATACATGTACATCTTGGTTGATTTCCTGATTTATTTATCCCTTTTGATAATCCAAGAACTATTACCTCAAACTGATAAGGTACTTTTTGATTGGCTACTGTGCTACATGATACCCAGGGGTTGGGCATTGATAAGAGGATTAGGGATGAGAAAAGGAGGGCGGAGAGTGGTAAAGGGGAGGGGGTGATCTGGAGCTGTATACCAAAGGCACAACCACTAGTGTGAGTTCTGCTCAAACTATCACCAAAGGATGGAAACACTATGAGGGGTCAAAGATTAGTTCTGTAAACTACTCAAAAAAAAGGAAATATCAAGTAGTAAGAGAGGTGCTAACTATCTGCCTTGAGCAGTAGCACCCCCTCATCAGTTGAAAAGAACCAAGTTGGTGAGGAGTGTTCATTTTGTTGGTAGCCAGCGAAGTGCACTACCCAACAAAGGAGTCTGTGTTGCTAGAAAAGTGGTGACCTCTCTTGGTCCAGCTCAGAGCTCATAATGGACCTGGAGCAATGGTAAATTTGACTCGGATTATCAAACAGTCATATGAATTCAGGCAAATCAAGTAACTGTCAGTTTGGTTTATATTGCTTGGTTAGTTAGGTTTACTTAAAGTCTTTTTTGTTGTTTTTTTTTTGTTTCAGAGGATGTACATGATGTAACCACTGGTAAGACAAAATGTAGCACAGGAAGAATGGATGGGAGCTATGTGTGTATGTTTGTGTGTTGGGAGTTATGTATCTTAAGTTCATAACATTCAGGAGGACGGGCATAAGTCACAGAGGCCTGATCTGTGGATATATTTTAGTCAGTCTTCTCCCTGTTCTGTCTGTCAAATGCATTCTGGAATCTGGTGATTCTTTATTCAAAGTGAGTCAGAAGAACTCTGCTGACTTTGTTTTGTTGAGAATCATTCCTTTTTTACCTTTTTCATTTCTTTATACTTCAGGATGTCAAATTCACTGACAGATCAAAGTTACGACTGTAACATTTAATATGTATGACAACTAACAAATAAAGGTCCTGAGATTAATTTTGCTCTATCTCATTGTTCACAAGATCAAAGTAATCAGAGCTGTGCAATTTGAGATCCAAAGACAGCGAGCTTGCTCAGCTTTTAAGTTCAACCACGTTGTTTGTCGAAGTGTTACAAGTTTACAGATTGTATCTTTAGGACATGTTTACAGGCTTTGAGTACAGTACAGTAATGTTTTTAATTCCCCACTCTCCAACCCAGAGGATATGACCCCATGCCAGCAGGAGAGAGCCACGGCAGAGCATTACAAGCTCCCCTTTGTGCCTGAATGCAACCAGCTTGGTTACTACCAACCCATCCAGGTCAACACGATGCTCGGCGTTCGCTTCTGCGTGGACACAAATGGCGTTGTCATCCCACACACCATCACCAAATCTAGCAACTTGCACTGCGACAACATCGGTCAGTTGAATTACTGACACTCTGTGTCATTGCCGAGTTTATACAGCACCCGAATAGATCCTTGTCATGTGACTGGTGAACTGCCAGTCACGTGACGTGAAAATGCATGCTAGCGCTACACTTGTTAAAGTGCTGTCGTGTCATCCTGCACATGAAACAGCAGGTGGCAAAATGATAAAACCTGAAGCGTCCTTTTATCTAATAAAGAAATTTCTGAACCCATAAGTGATGCCGGTACCTCAAAAGAAACAAATTAAGTTTGCTGTCTGAAGGGCAACCATCAAGTTACATGCAAAGAGGATTATTGAGGCATAGTATAAAGCCACACACTGGTTCTCTTGCTGATGCCTTTTGCACATATAAACTGTGCATGTGACGTATTTAGTTTGGTACAACATCCCAGTTCAACTTACCTAACAACTTTTCTCTACAACATGTCATCAAAAGTTATAGGAATTGTCATATTTTAGTCCCAGAAAGCCCAGGAAAAATCATGGAAATTAGGTTTCAGATTTGTGCAGAAACCCTGATGACATGATACGTACTTCTGACACTCAAGTTGGGGCGTGGATTTATAACTAAATATACATGTAGTGTGATGATATAGGGTGAATTTTTCTTTAAATTTTGCATAGTTGACAGCGAGGATGTTGAGCCATACACCAACAAAGTTGATGAGAATCATGCTCCGCTGATCTTCCAGACTTATCCTATCAAGGATGCCATCCACAGTAAGTATGGGCTTCAAGAATCTGGCCATGAACGAGAAAAGCCACAAATTACTGGCCTCTGGCCTCGAAATCTACGGCCACCAAATTTACTAACCACAGAATACAGACCACAAACTCACCACAACAAACTCACTACCAAATACAGAGCTAGATGAAAAGTGTGGATACTGGGCTGCAAAATGGTCATATTAAACTAAAAAAACGAGGGTTAACAAGTCAAGGCCACAAAAAATATGGCCGACAATTTCTGTTGTAGTGGCCTGGGTACTTTTGTTATACTGATTAATATAAACATTTTGTCAATAGCAAATGCTATAAATAATCAAAAGATGTAGACATTAAAGGTACTTAACTGAAAATCAGAATGGGATTCTTGCTCGATGCTCCCAGAATGAAAACCTCAATGATGTTCCCAAATGTGACACAAACTAATGAATTTGAAAAGGCCGCTCAAAAAGCTTGCACAATGCAAATCCACCAACATGGTAAATGGAGTCGTACATCCAAATGAAAAGTTCAACTTCCTCTTTCTAATGCAAATGAAATTATTCCACAAAACAGGTGTAAGACTCATTTTTGTTTGATTGAGTCACATATTATTTCCACTAAATCCTGAAATCCTGAAGATTTGTCATTCCAAAATGACAAAACGATTGGTTATTTGCAGCACATACAAACATAAATCTATCCTGTGCTGTTTCTGACCAACTTTCCAACCTACTCACAAAACTCTCCCTGTTATCGTTTGCAGAGACCCCACGTTGTAAGCTCCAGCGTCTGTCCTCCCAGTTTGTCTCCACTGTCTACCGTCCAACCTGTTTGAGTGATGGCCGGTACACACCCATGCAATGCCCAGAAGGAGTTGGTGTATGCTTCTGCGTAGACGTCACTGGTGCCATCATACCTGAGACAGTGAGCCGTTCTGGAAACACACCAAACTGCAACGACTACAGGAGCATCTTTGGTAAAAAAAAAAGAGAAAAGAAAATCAAAGTTAAATATTTTGTCAGTGGACAAGATATTTTGACTTGGGACCAATAAAGAGATGCTAAACACAGGAACAAATTTACAGCAAAGTTATGAGCAGAGAACCAGTTACCAGGTGTACAGAGTGTATGTCATCTTGGCTGGTAACTTGATTTTGTCACTGAGCAGAAATCTATGCCTTGTGTGTTAACTGTAATTTCTTCACCCTACGAAACCAATACCAGCATTTTATTACAGATTCAACTGGATATGACTACAATTGAATGCTACATCCTGAATTACATGTACTTTGTTGTCATTTTTTTTCAAGATGTGGTGACACCTATGAATACCAGCACCGTCATCATCCATCCTGATGTCTCACTCATCCACACTGGTTGGGAGCTTAAGCTGAGGGAAATTGATCATCCAACTCACGTGGTTGGACCGCAGTACCAGTCGACCACAACTCCCCAAGTGCTCAAAACAAGTATGTGGCCTTCCTGTAAGATTTTTTTCCTGTAAAGCTCTGTTCATGTGTTTCACACTTGATATCTGTACAGTTTTCCCCCACAGGAAGGCAGTATTTCATTTTATGTTGAATTTTGTTTCGGTGGCCAGAGATATTGGAGTATTTTTTCATCTTTTTTTTTTCAATTTTGATTTTGCTCCAAGTGTTTGTATTAAAATGCAGAAATGAAGACTATTATTATATCCATGAATAATTAATTTTTGACACTCATATTTATCATGAATTTCTGTAATTCAAATTATTAAATGTTGTGACCAGTTCCCCATGATTTTTTTGTGGGTGTTTCGTATTTCCTCCCCACCATTGTCAGCACATTATAATTTATTTGTATGTGAAGATGTATGATAAGTTAAACTCATCTATTCTGAGCAATCCTGACAACAAACTCTCCTCTGATGTGGATTCCTCAGACGTCACTACCTGTATCCGCCAGCAGCAGATTGCTAGCATGGTGCCTGGCGTCTTCTATCCCTCATGTCACCGTAATGGAACCTTCAACACGATGCAGCACACCCCGCTCAACTCCAAGGTATACTGTGTGGACAAGAACGGCGTCAAGATTGAATTAACCGAGAGGCGCATGGACGTGCACCTAACCCTGCCCGAGTGCAATAAGTACTGGAATAGTAAGTTTTGCCATTTGTTGCTTGGTCTGTTTGTCAGGCTAGCTGGCTCGGAGGGGTTTTCAGTAGGTTTGTACATGAACTTTGACCTGTAATGATGAGTACCAGTGAAGGGTATTAAATTTTGCCAGTTGGCACATGTGATTTTTATACTCGAAGCAGACTGCTGTGAACCTATTAAATACAATGTATGTGATGTGGATTTTCAACCAGTAGCCCGTTTCCTGCTAGCAGATACATGCTTAGCAATGTTTTCTTGTTAGCAACTTCCTGATATTGGTTGCAGCCTAGGCAGGATGAAGTCGAGTAGCATGAAGTGGGTTGTGTCCAGTCCTTGACTCAAATCTTGTCTAATTAAATCATGTAGTTAATAGACCTTGTTCATGGTGAAGTTATTTTGTTTGTGTTCCCCAGTGTTGGAGGTCTCGAGACCTGGTCTCGGTCTTGAAGTTCTGGTCTCGGTCTTGAAAGAGCTGGTCTCGGTCTTGGTCTCGGTCTCGAATGCCTTGGTCTCGGTCTCGGACATAAAGGTCTCAACTACAACACTGGTGTTCCCTGAAGCTATCATATTCAGTATAACCTGGTAAATGGGACGGTGCCAGACTATTTGGATTTCAAACCTCACTTTCAGTTTTTGTTTTAAAAGTGGCTTAAAACATGTACTTACAATTTATTCCAATTTTTAAATTATTCTACACGTAAACTGGCAATAAAGGTTTATTTTGTGGCTGTTACTTTTATTCTCAAAAATAAAAACTTCACCTCACTTTCAATGCAAGATGGCCGACACATGAATACAGTCTATTGGAAAAAACTTGCTGTTGAGATTCACTTACATATTGAATGCAACATGGCATGTGTGTACTGTGGGATTTATTGAAATCATGCATCACTGATCCATATATCTAAGTCTGTGTTTGTGTTATTACTTGAACAGCTACTATAGAAATCAACTCGTTGAACAAGCATTGGACCAGCACACATCAGGATGTCATGACAACCACTCCAATCCCATTGGATAAACTTTTCCCTGCTGGATGTAAGGTTATGCATTGAAAATTTTCTAAGACTTTGAACTCTGAAAGTTTGGAGGTTTAAATCTACCTCCAGGCAATTTCTTGTTCAATAAAAATCCACTTAAAGTATTGAAGTATAAAGAATGGTATGATTTAGCAAAGTATTGAAAACTGAAAGCTGGCCAAACGTCTGTAGGATTAGAAAGCTCACTTGGTAGAGTACCGAGACATCATTCTGGTGTACGGGGTTTGAATCCTGCCTGATTCATATTTTATTTGGTCAAATAACGTGCATTTGAATCCTGTTAGACAGTTGAAGTTCAGATGCCTGAATTAGGGTAACTGATTTCACTATGGGATCGTCAGTTTTAATTCGTTGCAAATTGCCCAATCTTCTCCAATGTTGAACTTGATTGGCCAGTTGACCGTGACAAGGTTAGTGAATGAGTGGTCAAGACTTCTACACCTGAAGAGGATAGTCTTAGGTTCGAGACCTACTCTTGTCCACCGACTTTCTGCTTAAAGACTTGATTATTTCATATTTCCATAATTCTCACATTCTCGCACCTCCAAACTTGAAAATCCTCACATGACAACATTCTGTCAAACTGCTTGACTCATCTTTTCCAGTGCATCATCATCCCAACTGCACCAGGCAGCAGGAGATCACGAGTCGCCTGGAGGGCGCTGTTGTCCCGACCTGTGAGCCCAATGGCACTTACACGCCGCTACAGTGTAATGCTACCACCGGCGTATGCTACTGCATTCTGCCGTACGGCGACGTGCTGCCCGAGACCGTGCTGCCCATGGTGAAGGGAACACCCAACTGCTGGCACCTCAGGAATGGTCAGTCCATAAAGATCATCTCAACATCCAAATCATAACCCTGTTAAATGCTTCCAAATAAATTTGTTACATTTCAGAAAATGATTGCTGAATACAGTGACCCAACATTATAATTAAGCAGAATCTTAAATTCTCAAAGGTAAAAATTTGGAAATGCTTGCATTCAGAAGAGGTTTGATCAATTCCTCTTTTCTGTCTCCCTTTGCAGCTTCTATTCAGCACTCAACAACCCCAGTGCCTGATGGTAAGCTTATCATTTCCAGTCAAATAGCTCTTTCAACTCCATTGATTACAACCCTTAGTTTTTGCTGCTCCACAATGCATACCTTTGCACGTTTGTTTCCTTCTTGGGAGTCAGGTTGGTGTTGTTGCTCTATCCTCACCTTCCACCTTTGTGGCTGGGGTTCAAATCCCACTTAGGTCAGCATGTGGATTGGGTTCTACGTCCCTACCTGATTCTGTGGGTTTTTTCCCCCAGAACATTTATTCAGGGTTTTCCACTCACCTAAAAAACTGAGCATTTCTTGATTATCTTCTTCATTGTCATTTTTATACATCTGAAATTTCAGTCTCCCCGAATTCGTTTGCATTACAGTGTGCCGTTTGCCCATCTCCAGAGGCCCCTGCCTAGCTCGTTTCCCCCGCTGGGCCTACAGCACGCTTCTCAACAAGTGCCACTTGTTCGTCTATGGTGGTTGCCGTGGCAACGACAACCGGTTTGAAACCAAGGAGGAGTGTGAAAACACATGTGGATATATGAGTGAGTAGAAAAAACATGAGAAGTAGGCGGGGATGGCAATCTCTTTGCTTAAACCAAAATATTAACCACTTAGCAAGTATGTTTTTCTAAGTCATTAGCAACACGTCAACATTTAGTAAATTTGGTGACTATTCTCCCAGTTCCATGTGACCATAGGCTATTGTAGGAGACCTGTGAATCACAGGATATTTTGCTGATAATGTTCCACAAGCAATAATTAGCAGAGAATATTTTGCCAAGATAGGTTTGCACCAGCCAAAGTGTACTGCATACGACTTGAGGTTCTTTTTCTAAGGACTTTACTCAAGCAAGTTGTATTTTCTCTTTTGTGGCAGAGACTATGACCAAGTTACCTGTTGAAGATTGCCCTCTTAATGATGTAGACCTTTCACAATTAACACCTTTCAAAAAGCCCACTTTTAGAATCCTAGAATGGTGTCCTTAAAAGTTGAACAAATGTGGAATAGTCATCTTGATTGGCATTGTGATTCTGGGCTCGAAGTATGATTTATAAAAATAAGAGTTACTAACTTTCACAGAATTATCTCAGGGCTTTTTTTAACTCGAAAAGCATTGTTATCTACATTTCATAATCTGTCATTTTTAACGTTGATTTTTTACATTTTTGTGGCAAAATTTACAAGTATAACTTAATATTTCTCTAGTTCTCAAATTGAGAGTTCCATGGTGTCTTGTCACGTTTCTCCCCATTCTCTTAGCTCCCAGGGATTCCCGCCCTGTGACTTGCAGTAGGAAGCTCAATCGCTTCTATCGCATGAGTTTGACCCAGCGTCTTAGAATGAAGCGTCCCACATGCACTCCTGATGGCAACTACGCACCCAAGCAGTGTCACCTGACACGGACTGAGCGAGGACTGATTGAGAGTGTATGTGAGTGCATACACAGGATAACAGGTGAACCCCAGGTTTGCCCTGAAGAGGAGGTCATGGTCAACCCTGAATTTATCGACACCATTGGTGAGCTTTTCTTATCCATTTCCATTTAAATCAGTACAGTGTATTCATGGTCAGTCACTGAACAGTGCATTCATCAATCAAATCTGGATGTATACAGGTCGTTCAAAGTCCTTCCAAATTCACAAGGAGGTTTGAAAGGTTTAAAAAGATTTTAGTAAGTTTTAACCCAGCCAAACAAATTTTGTTAATTTCAAGTGTATACCCAGACATTGAGTTCATTTCTAAGTCTTTAATTTATGGTAAACTGGATTATTGACACATTGTAATTTATTTAAGTGTTTCAAAGAACAGAAAATATTCAGTAACAAAATGAAAATACTCAGTCCAGTGGTAGAATACCTTGGTTGCCCACTTCACAGAACGAGGCAGCCATAGCACATTTGTTCAGTGTACAGCAACAATTGCCGGCAGCATGCAATTTACTCATAGCCAGTTGAGAGACAGATTGTGTAGAAATATTAAGTGCCTTGATTGTTGTAGTGAAATGATCTATGGAGTATTTTTTTGCTTCAGGGAAATAAAACGTTCCATGCATCACCGAGGGAGGCTAATCTTACTACACCATGTGATAAACCAGTCAATAGTTGGCGAAAGCCATGTAACTAGGTCTCAGCCAATCAAGATACAGAATTGGTTAAGGTGATTCCAACCAATTAGAATCCTGCTATCGCTTTGCCAATCTTGAAGTGATGAAACTCCTCCACTAACACTGCGTATATTTTGTTGTTTGTTAGGTGTCTCCACAACTCTTGCTCCCGTTCCAGTCATCGATGGTTGCTTGCATGAAAGAGTGGAGTACCACGAGGGAGATAACTTCTTTCAGGAGTGCAATCAGTGGTGGGTGTGGCCAATCTTAGTATTTGGGGGAGGGGAGTGCATTAGACGGTTGATGTGGCCAGTCTGGGCAATAGGAGGTAGAAAGTGAATTGATTGATGATTGGTGGCAGTCTTGTTATCTGGGATTTGCAGTGCATGAAACAGTCAGTGGTGAAAATGGTCTGGATTTTTCTGATCATCATGGCTTAGAAGTCAGGTGGAAAAAAGAGGCATTGAAGGGCCGTAAGACAATGTGTTATCGTAATGTAATTAAACAAGGTGACAGAGAATTGAAAGACATAAAGGAGGTATTTTTTCCCAGATTTTTCAGTTTCCTCACATCTCACCCATGGACAGCATTTGTGGTCAGTCTTGATGTTTGGGAATGGTAGGGTGTGGTCAGTTTTGTTATTTTGGTGCAGGGAATGAATGAAATGAAACGTTTGACTCATTTGAATCATGTCTATTCCTTCCTCCATGTTTGAATTGAGGATGGACTGAATTTGTTGAATTGTCGTTGTGTGTGGCCAGTCTTGGTTGGAAGTAATGGATCAAAGTTGGTCAGAGGTGTGGTTATAAATCTGTTGCATGGGTGGCAAGTGGAATATAGAAGAGGACATTTATTCAATGTTGTCATTGTAGACACAATTAGCCACACAAATGTACATTTGTCACTGATAAATATAAATAACATTAATATTATCATTGTTACGTAACATTAAGAAGAAAATGACAACATTTAGGTGTTTGCCAATTGGTCAAGCAAATGCTTTTGTACCTTAACCTATGGACCGGCAGATAACGAGAGGCAATCAGACAACCATACAGACAAGGGTCAAACAAAAGATAGCATATGGCTGACAAGTTTCTAGACAAGGGCAAGATAGTTCATTTAAAGAGAGTACTTCATATGATTGTGTGAATGTCGCTGTACTCATTCTGTTTGTCATTGTTTGACTTGTAAATGAGCCTGATTGCTACATAGACCTATTCAAGTCAGTTTGGTTTTTACACCGACAGCTGTCCTCTGACCACATTCAAAATGTTACCTTGGCCCTTACAGACACTCACCAATATGTACCAATGTTGTACTGAAAATCTTCACATTAAATTACATTCATCCAAATTGTCGTGGAAATACATCTGGAAATTAATACCAAGTATCTTTTTGTCTACCTCAAAAGCCGCTGTCTTGGTAACAACGAGGCAATATGCACCCTAAAGTACTGTCCTCCTGGTGAGTCAAGTTATGGAATTATTATTATTCATTTCTGGTTAGAACATCAAGGATTCCTAAAAGCGCCATAGGCACTGTAGCTCACAAGCCTGAAGAAACCTGTGGAGAGGAGACAGTGAGAAGCAGTTACCGTGAGAAGCAGTTACAGTTTTAGAGGTGGGAGGAAAACCCCAGAGGAATATTCTGGGTAAAACCCATGGAATCAGGTAGGGACTGAAAACCCAATCCACATGTGAACCGGGCCAGGATTCGAACCCCGGCCGCAGAGGTGGAAGGCGAGGAAAGAACCACTATGCCAAGCTGACTCTCCTGACAACTTCACCTGACAATAAGTAGTGGGCAGAGCTCAAGGCATGTCTCTTTTATCAGAAAAGCCTGGTTTCCATATCAACGTACAGAGATGCATCGCTGATCAGTTCCCGACGATACTCAATGAGACAGAAACACTTTATTGTGACTGATGCAAACATCAAAGCAGACAGTCAGGAAAGTTGGATCGGGATTCAACTTTGCTAACTTTCTGCTTGAGTCGCCAGAAAGGCCTATACAAACACGCACACTAGCATGACAGGTGTACAATGATGGTCCTCTCGTTAATAGTACCACTCATTTTGCCTATTGTCTCCACATTACTAACATATGCAGCCCCAATCGTCAACAAATTAGCTGATCATAAACAAAATACATCAAACTGGAATATAAGTTAGGCTTAAAACTACTTTATTGCCACCTGAAGTGGAATCTTATCAAAACAAGAATCTTGGACAGGATTGGTAATTAGGAAAAGGTTAAAAACTGGTGCAGTTTTACAAACATTACATTCTCCATCTGTCAGCTCTCTGTGCTCTTATGCAGTCATGTTTGCTTGTTTTGATTGCAGAGAATTGTTATGTTAACGGACAGGTAGCTGTGGAGAAGGATCAGGGATGCGAGCATTGGTGAGTTACATCAGTGTTCACAGTCACATCATTTTTTGATTTCATTCAGAGTGACTGTTCTCATAGAGTCATGCATGAACTCGAGGTGACTCTGTGCAGCCTGTGTAGGAAACATAGGCCAGTGTACACTGTTAGTGCATTGGTTCCTACATGCCTGTGCCATAGAGTGTGGTGATGCAATTTACAGTTGAATGTGCACACATTTTCATGCGTTTATATATTAGAAGAGAACCCGGAGTGAGGATGCATTGTGGAATCCTCCCTCAAAGGGTCTGCTAATCTTTACACAATTGTAGCACTGACAGATATTGGCTCTTCATACAAATAAAGCAAAAGAGCCAATCACACCTAACACAAACCGCTACTAAGTAGCAATATAAAAATATGACCCTCTGTACAAGCACGGACCATTTGGTACAAGTAATGAAATGAATGTTCATTTTGATGTAAACTTCAGACGCCAATGTGAATGCATGTGGTAGGCAGTGTGAGGGTGTTCAATCTGCCCAAAGCTGAAGTGCTCCCCCAGTTGGCAAAAGATAGGTGATTACGAGCGGGTTCTTGCACGCATTCTGGGCGTACACAAAGACCATACAAACCGGAATAAATTAGTTACGCATTCTCAGCGTGCTCTGCGTTAAACATGCGTATACTTGCGTGCCTCATGGTGTGCCTATATGCGGTGAGTACCAACAAAAACACACCCTCTTTTGCTCCGCTTAGAGCAGGTTATCTTTCAGAAGAAGAAATGTTAGAGTTTGAGGCTGTGTCATGAGTCACCTGGCTATAGTACTGATCTTTGCTAGTGGCCCCAGCTGCCATAGACTATGTTATTTCTAGTCATATCCACAATAAGAAATCTTTTGCAAGTTAAATTTGAATAAAATCTGGCACACTGAATTCTTTAAATTCATGTGAACATAACAATTTGAATTCTCCATACTAAAAAAAATTTGTTGCTATACCTCGTGCTTCGAGGCAAGCTTTTGCTTAGTTACATGAGAGATGCCTTGCACAAATTGCAATACACTGGACAAGAAGGGCACAAAGGAACCAGTCCATTTCAGAGATGGTGGTCGCTATGCAAAAGCTTGCCCCGAATCACGAGGTATAGCAACAGTATCTTTACTCTGAGAAATTCAAAATGTTATGTTTATATGCAGTCAGATAACTCTGTGTGTCATATTTAATTCAAATTTAACTCACAAAGGCTTATTACTCACTTGTTAAGGTCTTTTCGAGATGCCAGGAGTGCGCTGCAGTCTTTGATGCATGTCAGTTTGTGTGTGTGTTTTTTTTTGGTCAGTACTTGCATGGGAGGACAATGGGACTGTGAGCCTATGGCTAACTGTGACACCGATCCTGGACCCATGTCAGGTATGTTATCAGAAGCAATGCAGTCAAACAGCTGGCTTGCAGGCCATCTTAGGGGCAAGTGCTTTGTCCTCACACGTCAGGCATAAGTGGGTTTGTCTGTGTCTCCATTGTCACATCATTTACATAAGAAAAGCTGGCCACAGACATGGCTGCTGGTGCCTAAGGACCAGCTTTAGAAACTTTAACTACAGGACCATCCTGGTTGCGTGCAGGTGGTATACATGCGTTGTGCTGCTCTCAGACCAATACGGTGTGGTGGCATGGCAAAATGTGTGCACATGCTCAAGTTAAAATTCGTGTGTGAGTGTGAGTTCTCAGGATTTGGCTATAGCCCAAAGTATTACATGTTGATGTGGCCTACTTGGGGGCTTCTTCTCCATTTGTGGAATTGAGACATTCTACCAGTCTATTGTTTAGATGTCAACTATCCTCTGTTATTGTTTAGTTGACAGATTTATTTAAAAATAGTTCTACTTGTTGATCTGTTTGCCCTTAAGTAACAGTTTCAAGAACTCACTGACAGAAATGTGATTTGTAATCAATTGTAATTTGACTTTTTGGCTTGTTTAGAATCTGGGACCTCCACTCATTGTGTGATGGAAGATGGCACAAGCATGACTGTTGGGTCATCGTTCTATAACAAATGCAATAAGTGGTGAGTTAACCTGTTTTAAAGTAAATTGTTGGTCAATCGCAAGTCAATTCTAAATCATTTATGTCATGTTGTTACAAGTCAACAAAATTAACAATGAGTCAATCACAAATCCTCCTAAATTCCCCAAGTCATCCAGTCTTTGAGTTGTGCTAAGTTTAGGTTTTCACCAAGCTATTTCTTCTTGTGCCCCCAGATTGAATGTGCCCATATCCCATGAGACAAGCCTTGACGATTCTCTCCACAAATGTTGTGGAAAAAACAGTTTAAAGCATTTTTGTTATCACCCACTTTTCCATCCTTGTTCAAGATTAGTTTGAAGGCCTACAAATCAAAAGTAAATTGACTTGAACCTCGTTTTGCAGGGCCGGGTGACAAGCATTTAATCTTTCACCCAGTTCAACTTTTTGAATGATCACGAAAGTTCTTTTTGTGAGTTGATATTTTTCCTTTGGTTTTTACACCACTTCTTTCCCGTACCATTTTAATCCATTTTCCATTAATTTTCTATTCCTTATACAGTACTTGCCTGTCTACTGGTGTGGTGTCATGCCAGAACAACTACTGTATCCCTCGTAAGTTTCATAATTTTGTGTTTTACATGGGTTTTTGTGGAAAGAATTGTTAGATAAATTTTTTGACCGATGTGTAGTAAAAGTGCATTGACATGTTTGGTGAAATAGGCAGCTTAAAAATGCTGACCCCCTGTAGCTGACCCCCTGTAGCTGACCCCCTGTAGCAGACCCCCTGTAGCAACTACAAAGCTGTGACATAAATCACCTTGTTGCCTTTGCATGTTCTCAGGACACTGTTACGAGAGAGGCATTCCATACCACACTGAAGACACAATTATGAGAGATTGCAACAGATGGTGAGAATGAATATAGCCATCCTCCTTAGTGCCAGAAAGTGCAGCTGACAGCTGAATACCAATGCTTCCGTACATTTTATATTGATGTATTCAAGACTTACAGTCTCATCAATCAAGCTTTATTTGGACATTTTACGCCTAGTCACAGCTTTTAAACTTTTGCTCAAACCCTATCCTTCAACTCCTTCAACAATATCTGCACCAAATGCCAGAGGGAATGCAATCATTGTATTTTTTTTCTGAATGACAGCACTTGTTTCAGCGGCCAGTGGCAATGCCAGGAATACACCTGTGATCCCTACATCAGGACCAGTAAGTCTGACATTTTAGTCTATCAGACTACAATAAAAACCGAGAAGAAGTGTTTTGATATTCTAGACCTTGAAACTGTCCTTTCCCGTCAAAATTTAAAATCATATTTTGCTACCATTTATGGTTCCATGTGCTCTGGTAGAATCATCCTTCAAATAAAGAAGAATTTGGAAACTAACTCATAGTGCATTTAATTTTCAGTTTAACCAATAAACTTGACTAGGATTTGACCCTGTGGATTAATTTGGTTATGTCCCACTGTTTGGTCTGAGCTATTCACCTGTGTGTCGGCCATTAGTGTCTCCCAGTCTGTCAAATCTGCCAAATGGTCATGGATGTTGTCCAAAGTCTCCATGCTGTAGCCACACTTCTCTTTCTTTGTTTCATTGATATTTTTGAAATGTTTCCATTGTTTTCTCTGTGAATTACAGTGGTTCGTGTGGAGGGTTGCCAATACAAGGAAAAGACCTATTCCAATGACGAGACCTTTTATGATGTTTGCAACTTGTGGTATGTTCTATTTTCTTCCATTTAACTATTTTCAGTGGTTTTTATTCCAAAATACTCCTTCCTGAGTAGTTTTTGGAACGTTTTCATCATCGTTTTACCTTTCTCAGTGTATCTACAAATTATGCTGGCTAAGTGCCAACTCGTGTTCCTTAAGCTTTGCTAAACATATTAATCCTGATAAAAAATTATCAACATTTGAACATGTCTTTTTATTTTCATAGCCGTTGCCTTGGCAACAATCAGACAAGCTGCAACAGGAGATTCTGTAACCCAAGTGAGTGTAGCTTCTAAAAATCACTGCCTTTTCTTTTCATTCAAATTTGTTCATCAAACCCTGTTTTTTTTTCAATTTTTGCAATCTTAGTAAACATTCAGACATTTTACAACGTTGTGTATTGTATGATACATATTATATACATTCAACATCATGCACAACTACAACCTGAAAGTTGTCTTGTGTTTGACAGTGATAATACTAATGTACATTTATGTAGCGCCCTCATCCTTCTCAATCAATGCTCCAAGATGCTTACATAAATACAAATCAAAGTAACCCTTTCCATCTTTGTAAAACATGATGAGAGATGCAAAATACACAAAGACTGTAATTCAAATGCAGTCATCCTGAAAAGTTTAACACTGACTTCATGTCCTGATTCCTGGAGGCACGTTTGAAACTCCCGTCTTTTTCCATGCTTTTGTATATGAGCACTGCCCAAACAGCAGAGGGCGGTGTTTTGGCTGGAAATGTTAGTTCCAGATGGGCCCTAATACTAGTGTACACGCACGTAGAAAAAAGGCAAAGTTTTTCCAGATGAAGTAAGCCAAGTTGGCTTGTTCCAGGTTCCCCTGATGTGTCACAGACATATAAAACAAAACTGGTTGACTGCATGGCAGTTTAGAAAGTGAGAGCTTGTTCTTCAGTGGTTCCCATGTCTTGTTATCATGTGAGGGGAAATCATTGTGTACCAGGGAACTGTTGTATAGTGCAGTGCTTTCCATTCTGTCACTGCTAAGACGATGCTCATGGCAGGCAGATGCCTCTTACACTGCCTTGAATGGATGGCATTAATTTTTTTTTTCAATTGCTCATGGTAGTGCAAGCAAGTTTTGTCTTGAGCTCATTTGTTCTTGTTATCAACCCCACAGCTAGCTGCTACGTGAAGGAGGTAGAGATCAGAAATGGAGAATCAGAGATCTTTGAATGCAAAACATGGTAAGAAGTTCAATTCAATTCGATTTGCTTTGGTTTTATTACTAACATGTGGCAGTAGTCCAGAGACTTAAGTCACCATCTTTACTGGTCACAGTCATCTTTACATTACATCTTACATTGCTTTAAGAATTTATTAAGCATTTCTCTAGGACATTGTGACATTGCATGGAAAGGAGTAAGACAAAGTGATGCCTGCAGTTTGAAAAATATCTGTAAATCCCATAGCATTTAAATACATGTAGACCCAAAGTATCGGCCAAATCAATATCCCCCAATAAAGCATAATTCTAAATAAACAAATGTCACTAGGACATTGTGATATTACCTTTGAAAAGTTTGTGAAGTGATATCTCCAATTAGGGTAGTTGGAAGAAAAAACTGATCAATCCAATCAGATAAAGCAAATTGAACACTGGCACTTTCTTCTCTGTCTGAAACTCAATGAAGGTGGAGCTTGAGGAAAATAGCTTATGGTTATTCCTTTTAAGTTTCACATGTTATGCTTCTTTTTTTATTCGAGGTGTACAAAAATTAAGGAAAAAGTACAATTCAAACTCCCCATGCTTCTCATTCCTGCTACAGTGGACGTCAAACAGTAACTCGTTTGGTTAGTCGGCAGGAAATGTTTCTTTCAGAAACTTTTTTGATGTTATTATTTGAAGTTGTAGCTCTCATTTTCCTCAGCTCTTGCATCAACGGACTCTTGGATTGCCACGAGGATGAGGAATGTCTGAACGTGATGGTTGACCCCGTTCCTGAAGGTAGGTTGTCATGAGGTACATAGGCCTCTTGGATTGACGTTAGTTGTAACAAAATAACTCAGACTCAAATGTTGGAGTTTGGCTAAACTATTCATTTTGGCACCAGGAGTCATACTTAGTCAAGATGACTGCCAAGCCAAGATTGGTTGCTCTTGGAATCACTTAGCATCAAGACTTTTTAGTGGGCTTGATTATAATGGACTCATGTCAATCAAAGTTCCCGAAATGATATTTCAAACTATTTATTCTGTCCTCTATGTTTTAACAGTCAACAGAGACACCTCTGTAACATGTAACTTTGAAGGCAAGACCTACACTAATGGAGATGAGTTCTTTAAACAGTGCCAACCATGGTAGGCAAATAATCTCCAATTTAGCCTAACAATTCACTTCGTAAATGGAAGGTCAAGAATTTTCTGTATCATCAGTGCCTTTTGTAAATTACTTGCTTTGTTTTCAGTTTTCTTTGTCTACTTATAACCCTCTCCAGAAAAAATATGAAAATGATTTTGGAGAAAAGTACAGAGGAAACTAGACCCTTCAGTGTAAACATGGGGTTTGTTATTTTTGTTTGCAGTCGCTGTTTTGATGATGGACAGGTCCAGTGTGAAGAGAAAGCTTGCTCACCAAGTATGTCGTTGTGTTCTTAGGATATTGTTCAAGCTGGATAAATGCCAGTAGATAGGTTTATAAAGCTTCTTCGTGAGTTATTTATGATGTTGAAAAAAAAGGAAAGGTCATTGTGCCTTTCTCTGTCTCTCAGGTAGATTTGATCACGCAAAAATGTCCCATGTTTCAAGCAGTTCTTCACAGGAAATTGTCATCGCTTTTAAAGTTTGGAGGAAGCCATGAGTTACTGAGTTGGATTGGGGTAGAAATTGAAGCTGGAAAAAGGGAATTCTAGTGCCTTAACACCCATCAAGAGTCGTTCTTTGAGAGATTTCATTTTATCTCATACTTATTCTACTCAATTACAAGTATTTAATTGTGAGAAGGGAAAAATTGTGAGGAGTTTTTCAATATTGATTTTCAAATAGATTGGGGGGGGGCTGATTATCCACAGTTGTAGCTGTAGAGATGAATGACAAAGGACAGCTATACATTGGTCAAGCCACGTGTAACCCACCATTAGCATCCAAATAAACCACATCTGATTATGGAGCCCAACCAGAAATATATCAAAAGTAATGAGCTAGAGTATTAACATTGGATGAATGATGCAAGGTCATCATTCAGTCTTGGCTGCTTGAAATCTCTGACTGGTCACTTCTTCACTTTGGTGAAGAACTAGAACCCAATTAGAGAAGGCTTAAAAACCAATTCCATTGCAATTCCGTTATTTCTGGGGTGTTATGGGAGGGAACTGCACAGCAAGATCTGTTTGATGTTTAATAAAGAAGAATTTACTGTTTGTTTCCCTTCAAGATCTCTGCTACATGGAGGGAGTGGGTTATCGTAGCGGCAAGGTTCTACTAACTGACATTCATAAGTGGTAAGTATCAACACTCTAACAGGAATGACGCTTTTATGTACATAGCCAGCTAACGCTGGACAAATGATGGCAATCATTTAACAGCTCCCAAAGCATCAGTAAAGCCCTTTTGTACTTTTGTTCAGTATGGACAATAATAGTGGACGGAGGGACGTGGTTTAAGTCAGAGAAACGTGTCCTCGTCCATTGGAATCAAAGAACGTCCACTTTTTTGTCGTTCCGCGTTTACCTATTTTTTGAAATCTTGTTTACTTTTTTCTCTCCTTAGTACTTGCTACCGTGGTGGACACTGGGATTGCCAAGATAAACCTGCAGGTATTTATTCACATTTTCCTCCAAATGGAGCAGTTCTTTGTAAATCAGTTTGGAGAAGCAACTTACACTTTTCATTCAATGTTTCTTTGCGAAAGACATGTTTCAGAACTGTTTGATATCACACTCAGTAGAATTTTGGAACTATTTCCACGATTGGATTCCAGGCTTAAATCATGCAGCAAAAATGTGATCACACAATCTGTTAATAAAAGCATAGTGTTACATGTTAGGTGGATGGAATGCAAAACTCATGGAGTCTTGGTCTCCAGCGTGAATCTTGGCCTTTTTTGGCCTATTTATATTTTTGAAGTTGTATTAATTCAAAAGGTGGACAGGGTAGGTAGGAAATTGTGGAGAAGCAGAGCAAGCAGTAAGTTGGTTGAATGGCAGGTCTAGTCTGTCGATCTCATGCCAATATCCAGGCTGTTTGAATTCAGAACACAGAGGAGGTGGCTTAGATGGGTGACATTTGAAAAGATGAAGTAATGATTAGTTCATTGTTAAACCCAACAAAATGCAGGAGTTGTAGTCTGATGGTTTGATTCCAGGCATGGTGTTCCTTCATTAAACTATTGCTGTTTTCTTTGTTTCCCCCAGATGCTGGCCCTCCCGAAGTCATTGAGTGCCTCGACCACCAGCCTGTCACTGTCTGCGCCACCAACCCTTGTAATCATGTCATCTGCCCGACCAACCGTGACGCTATTTGCATTCCTGACCCCTGCAACCATCAATGCCATCCGGCATTCTTTGACATCTACGGCAACCGGCTCCGTTGCTAAACAGGTAAGCAGGATTAGGACACATACCACTTTTTCCACCTCCGAGGGGGTAATTTGGCCTAATTTCACGGAGATGCTGAGCAGAAAGGATTGCCAGCATATCTTTTTGACTAAGCAAATATAAGCAGGGACCCAGTCACAAAGTAATACACTTTGCAAGGCATTTGGTTGGTAACCTGCATGTATTTTCTGTGCATTAGCACCCTTATGCCTTCATCTGGCTCTTTGCAAACCTACTTTCTGACCAGTGACATTCCGTAATAACCTCTCTGATTACATGAACACATTACAATCTTTCTTAGTGGTACATTTGCAATCTGCAACATTCTTGTCATGTGAAGAGTTTTGTGCACATTCAGTTGTAAATCACACTCGCTGTCATTTATATGGATATACCAGCATGCCCACTGATGTCCAACCCTCGCCTTATGTGAGTAGGGCAGACCGCACTACCTTCAGTTCTTGCAGTGTCAACACAATTCTTTAAAGGCTCTTGTGGTTTTAGGATCCACTGTCTTGTTTTCTTGTTTACATCATTTGATTGGTTGTCATACTGAAACTCCCCATTGATATTTGTCTTTCAGGATTGATTATTCATCACTAATTGGCGGGCTGTCCGAACCAGCAAGGAAAGTACGAGTGATGACCCGTTTGATTCCAATGAATACGTTGCCAGGACACTAAAGTAGATTATTCATTATTTGACTGAGTGCCTTACATGGAAACTGACATGTATTAGTTTTATTACAGCTGTAGATCTCAAAAACGTTTCAGTTCATGTAGTATCCCTAATGCAGCGCTGTTATTCTAGTTACATCTGTAGGTTTCTTCTGTTTGCTGATTGTTTTCTTTAAAAAAAAACTCTGTAGAGACACTTGGTTTCTTTCTTCAGTCATCCATATTCTCTGTATTGACTATCATCAAGCAAAAATATGATTCACACTGTAATAATGAGTCACAAGTCACCAGAGTTGTAGGCCTTTAAAAGAATCTTGCATTGTATTTAGCAATTGAAAGTCTCAACATTTTACGTCCAAATGAACCTATTTCCTCAGGATGTGAAACTCCAAGATATATCCCCTCAAAAAGCTTGAGTTCCTCTTTCTCGTGCAAACTGAAACATCTCTGGGAGAATGGCCTTAGGACTCATTTTTACAAAGCAAGGTCACCAATTGTTGAAATATTTCCTATCACCATCCCCCAAATTGAAATCTGTTTGACGTACTGTATAGTATTGCTACATGCTCATTGTGTTCTCTGTAATACTCACTGCTTTCTGTTTAATACCATAACCTCTAGCACTATTTCTGCAGACAGACAATGAATTTTAAATGACAATTAGTAGTTTTAAGACTGTCATTTTACCGGATTAATAAGATCAGATGCCTTAATATTTTAGGGTGTTTCTACAGAAGTAGATCAAAGTTTGAACAGCATAGGTGTGAGAGCCAGAAATTGTAAGATTTTGGTTTCTTGGCAACAGCTTCTCTCCATTTTTTTTTTTTACTGTTTGGATATAAGGAGAATTTTTTAAAAATCTTTTATGCTCCAAAAAAAATCTCAAAAACTCCTAGCCTTGTCACCCTTCTGATTTGGGGATACAAATTGCAAAAAAAAAAGGATTTTGTGTTTCAAGAAAAACAATGGGTTGAAACAATTTTGCTTTATCTCATTGTGTACAATTAAAAACATATGACACACAGTTTATCCACGTTCTTACTCCACAAAATGTCTGTGCACATTATCTGTATCATGCATATGAAAGTTTATTTGCTTACTTAATATGCACACACCAGTATTAAGTCAATGATGTTATTTTGTAAGGTGTCTGTGTTTTTTTTGTATGTTTCATGAAGTGATATTAACGTCCTGGCTAATTATAATAAATTTGCATGCATAAATAATCATACTTCAAGTGGTCTGTGGCTCTTTTTTGGAGGATGTGAATTTGGCAATGTTTAAAAATTGTCAGTCAACCGAACCATGGATGAAAGGAGTGAAGTGAAATATTGCACCTTTTTCTTAGCATGCAGAGACGAAGTTGAAATGGTTTTGTAGTGTAGAGATACTCTTCCTAGTAGGGACTTCAGATTATTGAGACGGGCTTTCCTGATTTCAAACTCCAGTTGCTGATCAGGGTGGCTTTTCAGGAAATGTCTATTTAAAGAAAACGGAGTCAAGACGTTTCAGCAGTCTATCACATTTATTTACCTTTAGGCCTATATTTAGTATGTTTTTCTGGAAAAACATAAAAACCAAGGGGAAGAAATGAAAGATAACAAAAAACAAACAGAAATTAATAGATGTCGAAGGATTACTCCAAAGAGACAAAGTCTCAGTTAAGGGGGTCTCTTACTGAAGGGTTACAATAATGAAACCAAATCAATAAATTTAAATAAGACTAAATCATTTATTTATTTAAACTCTAAAACGTAAAATATTTACTAGTACACTCTGCTTTGCTCTTGCAATGGCTGAAGACGAGCTTTCTTAATTTCTCGGCACGAACATCCATCATTTCTAAGACCGCTTTTAAATCAATGCGATTTTTAACAAAGTCTAATTAACAAAAAGGAAGGCGAAACATTTCTGATCGCCTCCACCTCACAAAAACGTTTCAGTAGTCTGACGTTCTTACCGTGGTTTGTTTATTTATTTCATTTCTCGGGATATTACAAGTTCAAAAAAATTACACAAATAACATGAGATTTAGATTTAATTTCTGAGTCTGGGCTTTTTTAATAATGATAATGGTTGTCATTTACGGCAACTTTGCAGTTAAATAACGAAATATGTCAGCAGTTTGTCGCTCACACCCTACAGTTTGATTGCTTTTGTAACGTCTGAGGACGGGCTTTCTTTCAATAGACAAGCCTTCCAATTTCTGGTCTTTGTTCAAGTACAAAGACTGACGCCATTGGTTTGTCGAAGAGACGCGTCATTGCCAGAGAGATTTCCACAACAAACATCACGCCTATGCGGACAAGCATGGCCATCCAAGAAGACTTCGATTGCAGTCGTGAAACCCAAGGTCTCTCTCCCAAATACGGTTTTCTTCGGTAGGCTATGGCAAGGGTTTAGGAGACAACCGGTTCATCTGTGATCCACCACGAGTCAGCAGCCAATTTCTTCACAATCAACTGCATTCAGCAATCTTTCAGTGCAACTTTCAATTTTGCCATCATATCTCAGCCATGGGAGAGTCCAGATTGGACTGACGATGAACTGGATGATATTCAAAGAATTGCTGACGACGAGGCAAGAGTTCCATATACGGACAACGCCAAAAAGCATAGAAACCTACAATGGAGCAGATGAGACACGTGAACAATTCACTTCATTTCTTTCCCGCCATTTGATTATCCATAAAACTTTTAGAGTTGTCGTTCGTCACATTGTGCATGTATTAGTCTAACCACCAGCGTGTAGTTGAAATCATGGAAACTTACTAATTTCTTCGTCCTGACAAGTTGCAGGGCCCACTAGTACGGATCAGACACACTTGCATCTTTATACAACACGTCACAGTCATGGACACCACTGTACCTACACTGATTTCTTGATGAAATGAGTTTTCATTGTTCTACTTTATTCATTCCGTCATTCCTGCATTAGGGACCTTCGAAGTTGACAGCATCCAGGAAGCAAAAGTTTACCTGATGTACGCAAGTGTCTTGTGTGCAATAAAACATTTGCCCCAAGGAGATGGTTTGCAGCAACAAATAATAAGTCTGTTCATCCAAAGGTGATAGACCTCTCTTGTCCAACCTGTGGTGCTTCTGTTAGGTGACTGGACAACATGTACATCGTCTCATTCTCACCAAACACACTGTCAAAGGTAGCAGCAGCACCCCATTTGAGGATCACTAAGGAAGCAGCGTCAACTTTCATTCAACCCCACCAGTGGATGAACCCACAACAAGCAGGAACTGTCCTGTTATAATGTCGGCCGAAGGGAATAGGTCTATCCGTGGATGAACCCGCTCCCAGTAGCGACCAATAGAAATACACTTCATCACTTGATCACCCCGGTTAAGCCACTGGACGTCTACATCCGAAGAGGGCGACAGTGGCATAAGGAACGACAGTTCAGTTGATAGTGATTCCTTCCGATGTCCAAAGTGTGGCAGGTCGTTCACTCACCAAAACCTTTAAATCAGGAATTTCTGACGATGTCACTGCCATGCTGACATTGAGGGTGATCACGATGGTGATAATGATGATGACTGACTTTTCTTGAGAGAACGGTGAAAAATGATAATGATTTATCCCACGTCTACCGGGAGAACTTAGGACCATCAGATCACGTTCATCCACGGGACTGAAGACCAGTACAAGACACGCGTAGCATCAGAAAGCTGCGAGTTAATTATTTGCCCATGGATGACTGCAAGAGCATACTCCACTTTTTTCGGTCTCTCTGAGAAAGAAAAAGTTGGATTAATCAGTGGATGCCAATCAATTTTATGCTCATTCGATCGTCATCTTGATCAAAAATGGAATTTCAACGCCTTCTCGCAAAATACAGCCCAGTCGCTGTAGGCCTGGTTGTTTTCTATCAGAGGAATGGTTTGCGATGAAAGCTTACACCCAGACCCAGTGTGACCACCCAATGAGATCGAAGCCAACCGCCTGGAGTATAATTTTCTGGCGGAAAAACACAAGAACGAGGGGGTCTGCCGCTCCCCCTGCATCTTCACCAAGAACAGAATGTTGTACATGGTGACTAAGAAATGCAACCATTGATATTACTGTTATTTACTCAACCCCAGCGACCTGGTATGTGATCTCGTGGAAAAGTCCCTTGTGGCAACCAAGTGGCAGAAAAAGGGAACCTCGTGTTTCAACCAGTGTTGTAACGAGTCACAATAGTTGGTAACTCGAGTCGAGTCTTTTTAACATTGTGACTTAAGTTTGAGTCGAGTAATTAGGTCAAGAAGTCGAGTCGAGTCACTTTGTGTAGTCGAGTTGAGTCAAGTGCAATAGATTTTACGAAAGCTTTTGACAATATCGATCATACCATTGTTGTTTCTAAGTTAGTGCGATGTGGTGTAAATCCGGCTCTTATTCCAATTATTTGTACCAGTGTGTCTCAGACTTTAACAGTAACTTGTGGTGTCCCTCAGGGAACCATAATTGGGACCAATCCTATTTTTACTTGTGATTAATGATGCTGCTGTCACCACTCCACTTAGATGGAAGTATGTAGATGATCTTACTCTTGCTGATATAAGAAAATTTTCTGATCCTGCAGGTTTACAGAACCAGATTTCCAGCATTTGTTCTTGGTCCCAGCAAAATCATATGACACCTAAAACAGAAAAGTGTAAGGTCATGCATATCTCCTTCTTAAAAAGACAGATTATTTGGCCGAATATTTCTATTGATGCAACAGTTTTTAGAATGTGTTGAGAGGTTTGAATTACTGGATGTTACTATTCAATCCGATCTAAAATGGGACATGCATGTGGAACACATTACTTGTATGGTTGCCAAGAGATTATATATCTTATGTATTCTTAAAAAGTTCAATGCCCCCATTGCAGATCTTGTCACTATTTATCTGATGTACATTAGACCTCTTCTTGATTATGCCTCTCCGGTGTGGTCAAGTTCTCCGACAGTACAGCAATCTCAGTGCATTGAAAGAATGATTGAAAGAAACCTGCCTGCCATATAATTCTTGGTTATTCTAATTATTTTGAATAATCAGTTACCCTCGATTATCTTCAATTGCCATCCTTGGAACGACGAAGTATTCAGCTACTTGAGAAAATTTGCCCATGTCGGATTCAAGCATATGTCCACGCTTCTCCCTCTCGTAATTCAAGGAGCACTCGTTCTCTTAGAAATACAAGTGGGCTTTTGGTTCCTTTCTGTCGACAAGCAGATACCAAAAATCATCTATTCCACAAATTGTTCACATCATTAATTCTTTTAAGCTTGTTTAGTCCCTGTACATATATATCCTTTTAATATTTCAATATATAATTTGTAGTCCAATCACTATAAGTTTTTCGAATTTCTGTATTGGGGAGCTATTAAATAGAAATAAATAAGTACTGAGCTCGAGTCAATTCGAGTCACAAATTTTTGAACAAAATACAATAAAAACACAATAGTCCTACAGTGTACATGTACATTTCAGTCATTTTTTGATATTTTTATTTTCATTTAGACATACTGAAAATAGATTAGGGTGACAGGTAGCTAGCCAACTCAAATTTTGCTTAAGATTTTTTTTTTGAGACGCGAATCTTGTAAGCAATTACTCCAGTTGAGTCTCCATATGCATGAGAGATTCGAGTCGGTCGAGTCATTTGCTCGCAGAATTATGACTGGACTCGACTCATTACAACTTCGGTTTCAACCCAAGCAAAAGGGTTAATTCCCTACGTCTCCTGTGGGAATTAAAAACTTATATCCTTGAAAGATATCAAGTCTTCTTCTTACACGGCTTCTTCAAATCACAGCTGTGATTGATCAGAAAACAATGGGGTGGGGCTTCATGGATCAGTCTTTGGCCGGGCAGTTCTCGTTTCAACAGTCAGTGGCGCAGACATTAAAAACCCATAGATGTGTCAAAACAACGGTGGGGTGTGTAGCTGAGACGGCACCCGACTAAATCAAAAAGAGTGGGCAAATCATATGCAGCAAGGTA